ATAATAATAATAATAATAATAATAATAATAATAATAATAATAATAATTTCTGTTTTTTTGTACAGTAATAATTTTTTTTCATAGATATATAGATATTTACGGATAACCTGTATATATATTGGGTACAAAAAAAAAAAAGATAAAAAGATAAAAAGAACAAACAAAAAGAAATCAAAGGAATTACAAATAGAGTATCTATTTTTCCTGTACATACTATATTATTTAGATACCTTTCTGTTATCTCTGTACACTACAAATTCCAAAAGGGGGAGAGGGCCAGCTTCACCTTCACCCGGCCTCATCCAGGCCTATTCTGGGCAAGCCAACCGCCTTTGCTAGTATTGTTACCTAACATGGCAGACGACAATCCCTCTAAACGTCCTTCTTTGAAGGCTAAAGCAAAGTCCCACTACTTGCGCAGGCAGGATAAGGAACCTAAGGGCTCCAGACAGGACAAGGAACCTTCCAAGGCCGCCCAACGTGACGCCTTGAGGCGCCACAAAGCGTTAGAAAAAGAGTTCGACCGGCGTTCAAGGGAGTCCCGCTCGGAGCCGCCTATACCTCCCCATCCAACCCCTTCTACCTCTGCTCTACCTCTCCCCTCAGACCCTTCTTCCCTACCTAGGCGCAGTTCGCTTCAGGGTCTTCCGACCCCCGGACCTCCGACTAGACGGACCCCCGAAGCCACCTTTACACCCACAGCCGCTGGTCTGCGCCAGGATGAACCCTCTACCTCCGAGGTTCCACCTCACATCAAGGCTTGGATGGAATCAGCCATCCGCCAGGGCATAGCAGAGGCACTACAACACGTGTCCAGATCAGGCTTCTCTCCGCGAGCCTCTGAACACGATTCGTTATCACTCAGATCCCTTCCACAACCGGTCCCCCCAACTGATCAGGTACTCTCTCAGAGGGATAGCCCTCCACCGGTTGGGGCCCAGATGGAGGAGGAAGGGGACTTTGGGGATTTCAGGGAGGAGGAAGAGGATTCCTGGATGGGATCCTCCCGCTATAGTGAACCCCTCTTAGAGGCTGACATCATGGAGGGGGAGATGTCGGAGGACGAGGGTCCTTCCCCCGACCAACCCACCTTTGGGGGGCTGTTCAAACCACATATGTTCAAGTCCCTCCTCCTTAAGGCCAAGAATGTATCTGGCCTTCTTCCCCAGTCCCCTGCTGAACCCCCCCCAGTCCAAGAGGGCCCAGAAGACTCCATTTTCACCCAACCAGTGGTGGAAGCCGAGGTCATCCCATCCCCTCCCATCTTCGTAGATCTGGTTGCAAAGCAACTTACCTCCTCAGGGACACCTCCTGCTCCATCTAGCCAAGACAAGAGATTCTTCAATCTCGATGCGGCTCTGTCTAACCTTCTGAATATCCCGGAGGTTGATGACCCCATTGTGGGTCTAGCTTCTTCCTCTACCCCTAGTGAGGCCCTAGAGGCCTTAAAGCCTGAGGACAGGCGGGCGGAGCTGGCGCTGCGTAGGGCCCACCTATCTGACGCCTGGGCCATTAAATCGGCTACGGCCGCCTCATTTTTCACCAGGTCTTCCATCCGCTGGCTACGTCAGCTCAAGGACCACATCCCTGCTTCCAATCTGAGAGCTCACCAGGATATAGCGAAGTTAGTGGCTGCAGCCGAGTTCTCGGCTGACGCCACTTACCAGTCGGTAAAATTTTCTTCCAGGGCCATCACGTCGCACGTTACGGCTCGCCGCATGCTATGGCTCAGACACTGGCAGGCGGACGTAAAGAATAAGGTCAAGCTGGCCACTGCTCCCATTACGGGAGACAAACTGTTTGGACCAGCTTTGGAACCACTGCTGGTCGAGGGCCGCAGTAAGAGAAAGTATTTGCCCTCCCTTTTTCGAAGATCGGAGACCAGGGGCCCCCAGCCCTTTCGGAGGAGCTTCCCCCGCCCCTTCTACCAACCCCCCTTCCCGCCCAGATACCCTAGACCTCCTTCCTTCCGGTCCCAGGACCGCTCGGACCCAGGTGACAGAACCAGACGCGGTGGCGGCTACAAGAGACCATTCCGGGGATCGGGAGGAAGGCCCTACCGTAGAAGGTAGATCCTCTTCCTCCCTCCCCATTGGCGGCCGCCTCAGCCACTTCGCCGCCCAATGGGACATATCCACCTCCGATGCATGGGTTAGGGACACAATCAGGTTTGGTCTCGCCCTGGAGTTCAGGTCCGCCCCCCCTGATTGTTTCATCCCATCCCCCTCCTCAAGGGATCCCTCCAAACGGGCTCTAATGGATGCAGCCATCCATCATCTTCTTGACATCCAGGCCATTCAACCTGTCCCTCCGGCCCAGAGGGGAAAGGGTTTTTACTCCCATCTCTTTGTGGTGCCCAAACACTCTGGGGGTTGGAGAGCCATCCTAGACTTGAAACGGCTCAACCGTCACCTCATCCAGCGTAGATTCAAGATGCACACCTTGCAATCAATTCTCTTAGGCACCAGGCGGGGAGACTGGTTATCTTCCATAGATCTTTCGGAGGCATACCTCCACATTCCAATCAGGCCCTCCCATTACAAATTCCTCAGGTTCTGCCATAATAACCTTCATTATCAATACGTGGCCCTACCCTTTGGTCTGGCTTCGGCCCCCCGGACCTTCACCAAGGTCCTGGCGGCCCTGGCGGCCCATCTCAGGACCGTTCCCGTCCGCCTCCACTGCTACTTGGACGATATTCTTATTCTCTCCCCGTCCAAATCCCAGGCAGTCAGGGATACCAGGGTCACCCTCTCCGCCTTACGGGCACACGGTTTTCTAGTCAATTGGCAAAAGAGCCAACTTACCCCTTCTACTCGAATTAACCACTTGGGGGCCATAATTGATTCGGTGTCACAGAGAGTTTTCCTCTCTCCGGAGAGGTTCCTTAGCATTCAAGCCCTGGTCAATCAGATCAGGTGTTCAAGGAGGGTGGCCTTGTTGGACCTCTCTAAATTGTTGGGCAAAATGGTATCATGCATCTCCATTATTCCCTGGGCCCGTCTACACAGCAGATCCCTCCAATGGTTCCTGCTCCCGTTCCAACGATCCGGAAGAAGCAACTCGAGGGTCAAAGTCAGGGTCCCTCCAAGGGTCCTCACGTCTCTTCTCTGGTGGACCAATCCCGCCATCAACAGAGGCCACCTCTTCGCGGAACCTCAACGACTCACCGTCACTACGGACGCAAGCCTATCCGGTTGGGGCGCTCATCTCGACTCGATCTCTGCACAGGGCAAATGGTCGCTGACCGAGCAGGGGTGCAGCATCAATTGGCTAGAGCTTCACGCCGTCCTTCTGGCCCTGCGCAGCTTTCCTCAGATCCGCAAACATCACGTTCTCGTGCTCACGGACAACGTCACGGCCAAGGCCCATATCAACAGGCAAGGGGGCACCCAGTCCATCCAGCTAATGAGGGAAGCCGAGCGCCTTTGCCGCTGGGCAGAATCCAACCTCCTATCCTTAAAAGCCGAACACATCTCCGGAGTAGACAATACTCAGGCGGACTGGCTGAGCAGGGCCACGGTGGACCAGGTGGAATGGCGTCTCCATCCATCCCTTTTCGAGGAAGCGTCCAGAATATTCGGCCTTCCGGTGGTGGACCTCTTCGCTTCCCCGACCAACACTCAGCTTCCACGGTTCTTCTCCCGGTATCCGTCTCACAGGTCGGAGAATCACAACGCTCTGCGTTGCCCATGGCCCCCAGGGCTCCTATATGCCTTCCCTCCGCTCCCGTTAGTTCCCAGAGTAGTTCAAAAACTCATTCAGGAGAGGGCAGAACTTCTCCTGGTGGCTCCCTATTGGCCCAGGCGACCGTGGTTTGCGGATCTCCGCATCTTATCAGTAGCGCCCCCATGGAGGATCCCCCCGGACAAGGTCTCCCTCTCTCAGGGGCCCCTTCTGCATCCGGAGCCTCAATGGCTCCAGTTAGCCGTCTGGAGGTTGAGCGGATCCGTCTGACTTCTGAGAAACTTTCAACTCAAGTCATCGACACTATTTTGGCCGCCAGGCGTCCTTCCACCACACGAATTTATGATGCCACTTGGAAAGGGTTCTGCAAGTGGTGTAGCGGGTCTCAGGTTAATCCCCTCTCTCCCTCGGTGGCACAGATCCTGGAATTTCTTCAGGAGGGTCTTCGCAAGGGGCTCGCACCTAACACCCTGAGATGGCAAGTTTCTGCTCTCTCAACCGTGGTCTCCTGTGATAACTACGGTTCCCTTTCTCACCACCCCAGGGTTAGATCTTTCCTTAGGGGCGCCTCCAACCTGTGCCCTCCTACCGTTCACAGGTTCCCCACATGGGACCTCAACAAGGTCCTCGTTTCTCTTACACGTCCCCCGTTCGAGCCTTTGAGGGAGTCATCCCTGCAGTTTCTCACTTTCAAGGTAGTTTTTCTAGTAGCTATTACTTCTGCTCGTCGAGTTTCGGAATTAGCAGCTCTGTCAGTCAGGAGCGATCTATGCGTGTTCCACGCAGACCGGGTGGTCCTTCGTCCCGACCCTACCTTTCTACCCAAAGTTAACTCTCCCTTCCATAGGTCACAGGAACTGATTTTACCAAATTTCTGCCCCAGGCCCTCCAGGGGCAGGGAGGTCCTCTGGCACACCCTAGATGTTAGAAGGGCCTTGCGTATTTATATTAAGCGCACTCAATCCATGCGAAGGTCGGAATCCCTCTTCCTATCCTTTCAACCCAGGTCAATGGGGCTTAAGGTTTCTCCTTCCACCATCAGTCGCTGGATCAGGGCTACTATTGCGAGGTGCTACCTTTCCCATTCTCTGCCCGCTCCGGGTGGGATAACCGCCCATTCCACCAGAAGTGCAGCCACCTCGGCGGCCTGGGCCACGCAAGCCCCCATCGCTGACATTTGTCGGGCGGCCACCTGGACCTCCCCGTCCCCGTTTATCAGACATTACAGAATAGATTCGTACGCCTCAGCGGAGGCCTCCTTTGGCCGACGGGTCTTACAGAGGGTCATCAGTGATCCGGAGGGGCCTTCGGACCAGACGGAGTCCCACCCGTAGGACAGCCCAGCTTTGGTATGTCCCAGTCTCTGGATGCTCCGAGCGGCTCGAAGGAGAATGGGCGTTGGTTCTTACCTGATACGCCCCTTCTCGGCGAGCCGCGAGGAGCATCCAGCCCCACCCTAATTTCTCCGTCTGGTGGGGACTCTTTCTTCAGCCAAGGAGCCAATAGTAGATTAGAAAGAATTAATAACCTCTCTTCTCGTTATCGCAAAAACTGGGGAGGCGCTCCGCGATGTCACGTGAGGGGGCGGAGCGTTTCCTCATCTAAAGCTCAGCCTGCAAGAAGAGGACTCGGAAGCATATCCCAGTCTCTGGATGCTCCTCGCGGCTCGCCGAGAAGGGGCGTATCAGGTAAGAACCAACGCCCATTTACAGCACACTTTGAGCAGTTTACAATGTCAGCATATTGCCCCCAACAATCTGGGTGCTCATTTTAATGACCTTGGAAGGATGAAAGGTTGAATCAATCTTGAGTCGGACAGGATCGAACTCCTGGCAGTGGGCAGTCAGCCTGCAGTACTGCATTCTAACCACTGCAGCGCCAGGGCTCCATGACATTAGTCTGCCTATTTCTGCCTCTATCTTAAAACAACCACTTGGTATTTTATAACAGCGGCTTCCTTAACTATTAGACAATACTTATACATCTACACAGTGGCTGCAGAAAGAAATGAGGAACATGGTGGCCTGGCTGACTGTTTCATCAAGACTATCAAATTAAAAGCATAATTATGTTGTTTACTTTACCTGTGTTTGACAGCAGTTTTGTTGCATCCAAAACCTTTTCTGTATATACTCCGGGTTCATAATTATCCATTTCAGAAGTGACAACATGAATTACTCTTGCTGCACGACCACGGATTGCACCAGCAGTGCGATCTAAACCATCAACATCTTTTTCTTGAAGAGCAATGACACATTTATTTACATCTTCTAGAATATGGTTTTCTGGTGGTTAAAAAAAAAAAAGAAAGAAATGGGAAAATTGCATTTGCTACTGATAATGTGTAAATCAGCACAAGTTAAAAAGAAATTGCTATGTATATTTGAAATACAAAGTTAGCATGAAGCGCACAAGTTAAAATATTCCCGCTGATATTGAAAATTAACATAATGTAGGTTTAGGATGTCATAAATATATTCCAATCCACAAGCTGAATCTAGTCAGAGTCAACATGCATATAGTTGCACAGATTCCAGCTATTGACCAAAAAGTAGAGGAAGCCATTAGATTATCTAACCTCTCCTTGGTCCCTTAAAAGCTTGTAGAGTTACAAGCAGAGGGGGTTATTCAGCAGGTTCTGGAGAACCGGTAGCAGAAATTTTGAGTAGTTCAGAGAACTGGCAAATGCCACCTCTGACTGGAGATTTTACAGTATCCTTCCCCTGCCACGCCCACCAAGCCACGCCCACAGAATGGGTAGTAAAAATATTTGAATCCCACCACTGGTTTACAAGGTGTAAACACCATATCCAAAATTCAGCCCCATCCTTTACTTTGGGGAAGGGGAGGCTCCTCTCTTCAAAAATTCTGATTCTTGTAAAGCTTCTTTAATACCTTCGCAAAATAAAACTCTTTGCATATCAAGCTGCTTAAGAGGGAAGCTCTTCCTAACCTACACGTGGCTAATGAAAGGCTAGATGATGATGTCAAATATAACACTGGGCAATGCAGAAAAAAAAGGAAAATCAATACAGTAGGAACCACTATTTGCTCAGCTCCAAGTTGAGCAATATGTAAAAATATTTAATTATGGTAGAAGAAGAAAAGAGGAGGAAGGCTAGTGAATGAGGCAACCATTATAAACTAGCACTGGACATAAGCACAATATTTCTTTAAAGTACAAGATTTGGAACATGTTTTTATTAAGATTACTGAGAATTCCCCCCCCCCCCCCCATCCCTTTACCAGGATACCTTGCTTTAGATGACAAGTAGAAAAAACTATTTAAGCACTGAAATAATAGGCAAGATATTCCTGAACGCATAAAAATGGGTTTCTTGGCAAATTGTAAAAAAGCATTTCCGTGGTAAAATAATATCAATTCTAAACAAAATGGTAGTAGCAATCAACCATAACAACTTATTTATGTTCAATATCTATGTGAGCCTGTTAAGCGAGGGCAGCCACAAGTTATGGGGGTTGGTGACATCGGTATGCTCTACTTGGGGCCATCTGTGAAGACCACCTGGAAGCTTTAAATGCTTCGGAATGTCACAACAAAGGCAGTGATAAGCGCTTCCTGGTATATCCTCCTTGCGCCTTCTGGGTGCAATTAAAATGCTGGTTATAATTCACTAAGCCCTAATTGGTCTACAATCTGGCTAACTGAGGGATTGTCTATCTTCATGCCATTGTCTGGCCAGTATGAGACAGGGTCCCTTCAATTAAAACAGTGTTGACTATTGGGATCTAAGAAGTGTCCCACCCACCTGCTTTCTTAAGTGAGATTCCCCCAGAGAGCCGTATGTTTCTTCCCTGATGGCATCCCGTAAAGCCTTAAAAACCTGGCTGTTTTCCCAGACCTGTTTGTTTTTATTGTGAACCACCCATAATAGTCTGGAGTTGAGCATGGCCTATATTGAATAAACACAACAAATAAAGCCCATTTATCAGAAGAGTTTCTCTATGGTAGTACTAGCATCATAAAATTCTCTCTCCTTCCCCAGTCACCCAATTCTAAAGGCCTCTACTATTACTCCCTTTCCTGGAAGAAGTACCCATGTATTCCAGGTGTAAAAATTAGCTGAACACTCATACGTCTTATTTCTCATTCTATCTTGTTAACCTCTCTCTATTTCATAGTATTTTTATTTTAACAATTTGTATAGAAAACTACTGGAATTGCACAGAAGCGGTATAGAGATACAGAATAGGAAGCTAAGTAATAATAATTATCATTATGAATAAAACATTTCACATTCAAAATGTTCAATGAGAAACAGTCACTTCACATCTGAACTAGACTGCTTAAATCATGTATTGTAAGTTCTTAACTAATTAAAATAAAAGCAGGAGAAATTCAATATATGTATAGGTCTAGAAACTGTTTTACTCAGTTAAACAATCCAAACAACTTTATGTAAATCTTGCAACACGATGAACAAAATCTGTAAGATGCCCAGCAGAATTACTGGAATTACAGAGATCAAGCAATTGAAAACAACTTAGTTGTAACATGGGCATACTGGTATGTCTGGCAGAATGCAAAGTTCCTATTCAATCTTAAAGAATGTAGTGATGCTTTATTTATACACTTCTGGTATTTACCTGTGCTGTGTATACAAAACACAGGAAAAAATTACTTCGAGGCAATTTATGTATTAAATCACACTACAGAAGCTGTGGGAACCTGCTTTTAGCAATACAGTGTTGTAAAAACAAAGCTAACAACAGATGTGAACCAAAACCTATGAAGGACACTGAGTGAGGGATACAAATTACAGTCCATAATATGAAAGGATAGTTAATTAGAGCAACACATTCCTTTCATAAGTCTGCTGAAAAGAACTTTAAACTTTTACTTAATTATACCAGGAATTATACGAAGGAAAATAAAATGATAATGCTGCAGCTGCTGGTCGAATGATTCAAATCTCTGAGATTCTAATGCACAAAGTAAAGCCCAATGCTGTTGTTGCTTGCAAAGGAACACGGGCAGATAAGTAACAGACCAAATACAGACTGTAATCATATTATTATTGAAATGCCTACTACGCATGAGGCCCCAGTCAGATCAGGAAATGTGCAGGTTGAATTTGAACTACAGAAAAAAAAATTCAAATGTCTCTTATCAGTTGCTATTCTTTATTCACCAAGAGTGTTCTTAGAGCCAGTACATTGTTGTGGAGCCTGCTGGACAGCGGATGTTTTATACTGGTTTTCTCCATGCTTCCTCCAATTGAGGCTGTGTTATTTAGGTTGAATCTTGTTTTTCAGATCATCTTTAACTTGCTTTGCCCATATTATCTTTAGTGCTGATGTTGGATTATATGCAGGCCACTTTCTGATATCGTTCTTGAAAAGGTTGTTTAAAAGGATTCCTAGTGTATACCATAGGCACATTTAAAAAAAATCAACCTTATTTTTGATATTAATAGTGTCCATGTACCAAATCCATATAGCAAGACTGGAAAATTTGCATCCTGGTTTTCAGAGAAATATTTCATTTCCTCCACAGGCACTATAGTGCCCTAACAATCTAAAGAGAGGTGTGGCTGAAAGTGCTGTCTTGTGTTCTTCCCCCAGTTATTAATGATATTTCTAGTGGTTCACTTACTCTATGTGGGCTTTACTGGGGCAAACATCAAACTGTGACCCATCAGTTATCAAAATGTTTGCTGCATTAATGCTCATATGAATGAAGTGTTTGTAATGTTGTGCAAAGATGTCAATGGCTTCTGTGTTGCTGCCTGCAAAAATGGCACTATGATCAGCAAATATGAAGTTGATTAAATACAGGGAGTCCTCGACTTACAACAGTTCATTTAGTGATCGTCCAAAGTTACAACGGTACTGAAAAAAGTGACTTATAACCATGTTTCACACTTAGGACCGTTGCATCATCCCCAAGGTCACGTGATTTACATCTGGATGCTTGACAAGTAGTTTGTATTTATGACAATAGCAGTGTCCCGGGATCATGTGATCCCCTTTTGTGACCTTCTGATAAGCAAAGTCAATGGGGAAGCCAGGTTCACCTTAACAACTGTGTTATTAACATAACAACTGCAGTGATTCATTTAAGAAACATGACAAGAAAAATTGTAAAATGGGGCAAAACTCACAACAAATTTCTCACTTAGCAACATAAATCTTGGGCTCAATTGTGGTCGTAAGTCCATGATGACCTGTGGTGGTTTAGCGATACTCTATTACTTGTCTATCAAAATCCTTCCTCATTACAATATCAGCTACAGCAGGGGTAATATCACACAACCTTGTCTGATGCCAGTTAAATTAAGAATTCCACTGAAAGCTATACAGGGTGCTGGAACTGCTATAAGTTTTCTTGTCCAGATTCTGGAAAAAATGTATCTGATCCAACACAAAAATTAGCAGGTTTTGATGCCACTCACCAGCACTGGAAAACTCTTTTCAGGATTCGCATCTTGATGGTACTTGTTAAGCCTCTTTATTTAAATGAGGCAGAGTTTCCTCCATCGAATGTGACTATGGCGCTCAAACTATCTGGTGACCGGCTGCCATTTGAGAGCTTATACAGGAGGAAAAACAGGTTTTCTCCAGCTAACAAACATTGCACTTAATTGGATAAGTGGTCTAGATAAAGGTCCCCAACCTGTGGCCATAGCCCACTACTGGGCTGCGTGAGATGGCTGGGGTACGTACATATACGCATACAGCCTCACTCGTGTGAGTGTTGCAGGTACTCTTGGCCCCACTCGCAGCCCAATGGCATGAGTGTCATGGACGCTCATGACCACTTGTGCGACCATTGTCACAGGCACACGCGGCCCCACTTGCCTGAGTGTTTGCACATGTACATGTGTGCATTTGCCTGTCTCTTACAAAACCATGCTTTCTTTCCCTCCTTTCCCCACTCCTGGCTGCCAACCCAGAAAGGTTGGGGAACGCTGGTCTAGAGATTAATATAGATCTTAGGAACCAACGTATTTCAAATGTAACCTATAACTTACATATAACTTCTTGAATTCCTCATACTTTACAACTTGACTACACCATAGTTATTGTGTTTCTTTCATATATTTTTTGCCATATTATTCATGTACTCTGCCATATACTAAATAATAAACAAACAAATAAATAAAATAAATCTTGCAGTAGGCTTTTATGGACAATGTGTTTACTTTTCAAGATTTTTTTTTGAAGTTGGCCAGTATAAATTGTTGAAGGTTGCTTGAAAATCAAGAAATGCAGTGACAGTTTGTCACATCAAATTCTCTCTTCCATTAGTTGTCTGATGATGAAAATTTTGTCACAGCATCCTGGGTGGAAATGGGGTGCTGTTCCTTAGTTATCTGTTTCTGCTGTTTCTGGAAGTAAATTGAATCATCCTCATGAAGACCTTTCCAATGATTGATAGATGGCTTATATACCAGTAACTTTGTTTCTAGAACTGTCATCTTTCTTTGAAGTAGTGATATGCATGCTCCTTTCTATGCAACGGAGAGTTTTTCTGAGTGCCAAATGAGTTGTAACAGTCAATGCAGTCACTGAGTCAGATAGTTTCCACCAATTCTGAGTGCCTCGGCCATGACTTCATCCATTCCAACTGTTTTACCATTTCTCAGTAGTTTTATTGCCACTTTTACTTCATCTATCGTAGGCTCTGCAATCAAGGTCTGATTTTTCTGGTGTTTGAATGAGTACTGGATTTTACTGATGGTCCCCAGCAGCTCTTTATAATTGCATAGTTATTGAAAAAAATCTCCTGGAAATCAGTCATTTGAAGATCTTACAATATCCCATATGCCTAGTTGATTTAGTCTTTCCCTGTTGATATCCGAGAGGGGTAACAAACACATGGTACTTATGTTTTTGTGAAACCACTTCCAATTCTAGGATCATGGAGTTCCAGATTGCTTTATGCTCTGCCATTAGCTGGTGGAAAATTTCACATTTTTTTATATTAAGCTTTTAAAAAATAAATTTGATCGGTGACTGCTTAGAATGTAAAAAATATAAACATCAAACAATATAAAGAGAAAAGATAAAGAAAAAAGTGTTAAAGGAATAAAGAGAAAAAATAGACAACTGCTTTTAATAGATTTTTAGATAAAGATAAAACAGAAGATGAAGAAAAACAATAACTGTAGAATAAAAACATTATAGAAATACTTTTAATGATGTTTTCTCCTCTTCCTTTCCATTTTGAAATGTTTCTCCAACTGCTAGCTAAAATATTAATATAGAGCTATTTGTTACCTGTTTAAAGTTATTTTGTCAGTTTTATTGATTTTGGTCCCTAATTCAGATATCATCACATTATAACATTATGGCATATATCTCAAAATGTTGCAATGTGATAATCTCAAGCAACGAATTCCTTCTTGCCAATATGGTGTTCAGTGTGTCCATTCCAAGTGGCTGTGCAAATATCCAATTTTGGTATAATAAAGTAATAGTTTGTTATGTAACCAGCTCTTTGGCTAGCTGCAAACTTTCACTAGCATTCTGGCTAAGTTATCTGCTAGGATTAGCACATCAGATGCCCCAAATTTGGTAGTCTGTCTATATATGATTAGTCTGCAGTCCATGGATTAATGTCTGCAGCTGGTCTCAACCATGGAATGATGTATAACAAGAAAATCTTGTTAATGCAAAATACAGCTTCAATATTAAACAAAGCAGATAATTTTGATGGTCTTAAAACTCTAGTAGAATGATTTGGGATTTGAACTCTAGGAACCTCACAAAAATTCTTTGTGCCAGAGTTCTCTTTAAATCTGTTTCAACAATTCACCAAAAATTGATCATGAAGATAATCCACAAGTGGCTCTTCATTGCACTAAAATTATACCATATAATCAGTCCCATTTGTAGATGATGTGGGTGGGACTGCCAGCAAATGAGTACATATTATTATGCTAGATGGCCATGCCTAATCTGTCAGTTCTTTTAGTTGAAATTTCTAATAAAACTGGGGAAAAAGCATCCTAAAATCCTTTTTAATGAATGCCGTTGTCAGTTTATCATTTATTTTCCTAATCACCTAAGGTTTGCTATTGCAAAATGCTCAAACCTTGTCACTGGCTCAGAAGTACTTAAAAATGTGGGCATCTAATAGTTACAAAAATGTGGTAATTTCACAAAAGGGAGCTTTTAAAAATTCTACAATACAGTACAAGTAATTGGTCACCATTACATTAACTATATTGCTAATGCTTTATGTCTTAGAAGTCTCATTCTGGACAGAAATATTGAGTATTTATTAAAACAAATGATATGGTCAGCCATCTCACTGTAGCAACTCTGGGCGACAAACAGTAATTAAAAAACAATCTCAAACAATTACAGTAACAAAATTCAATAAGCCAGTTGTTCAAAAAATTCATATTAAACACTAACCAACAGGTCTCCCCTGACCCCAATACGTGAGGAAAAACTTAGGTCTTTAATGTCTTACTAAAGGCTAACAAAGTCAGGACTCTCAGAATCTTGCGGGCGGGGGGGTGGGGGTGTATTCTACAGGGCAGGCCTCACAATAGAGAAGTCACATCTTCTTGGTCTTGTGAGGGACATTGTTTAATAAAAGAAACCAGGAGTATGGCTACCTGGTGGTGAGAAGAAATAATTGGAGGCAAAGAGCCCTGCAAACAATCTGGCCCTCGATGAGAATGAAGGATGTTCCATTTGATTCAGCATCGATTTCTTCTGGATAGGGCAGATTACTGCTTGTTTCAAAACAGATGAAAGACCCCCTCTCTGAAGAAAGTGTTAACTTTACTTCATTTGGCTCATTTGAAAGACTCTTCTTTTTTAATGGTCCCTTGTAAGATGCTTCATTTCAGTGGGATCAAGGTGGAGGTACCCATAGCTATTATTTATATTCAAGAAACTTCTAATCTCCTCTTTTATGTGCTTCATTTATCTGAAACAATAGGCTCTTTCACACAAACATTAACCTGTTAAAAATATCTTCTCCAAGCAGATAAATTAATGAAACTTCCAGGATACAACAATAAACACAATTACAAAGTAATTAACTGAAAACAATGTAACTTCAAACATGCTATGCCTTAAACTCCTTTTTTAAAGACAAAAAGAATGGAGACTATCCATAACTTCTGAAGAAATGCATTCCACAGTTTAAGAGTCACACAAAAGGAATTTCTCCCATATTGTACCACAAGAATGATTCCAAAAAAAAAGGTGAATGAATTTGCTCATTAAAAAAAAGGATAAAGACAAAAACTTTTGTGGCTTTAAAGTCCAAATACTACTAGCTTAAATTCTGCCCAGAAATCAACTGGGCATTGCCTCAAATATTTAAGTGCAAGCACAAGGTAATACAAACACTGCATGCCCATTAGCAGTCTGCCACATTCTATACTATTTTCATTTTTGAGACTCCCTTCACAAGGACTATATTAATAGGAATATTTACAGGATTCCTTAAGGTAATCTTCAGCATTCGTAAAATTTGATCAACTTCAAAAAATAAATTTAAGCTAATGTAAATTTAGCTATTACCTGATACTGCCAAAAAATCATCAATGGAAGTGATGTCATCCACAGCATCTGTTAACACACGCACTTGCTTTTCCCACTGTTCTTTAAACATCTCCATGTTTTCTTGAGCCAGTTTACTTTGTGGCTTGGCAGCCAAAGCCAATGCTGCATTAATTACCTGCAAAACAAAATGTCTACAGTTGTTGATTTACCAATTTTCACACCATGCCTGGTTTTCTATGGAAACTATGGGATTCTATGGGAGGGAGTGCTGAGAAAGCCAAGTGATTCGGTCAAGCTAACTAGAGATGGATTTAGATTTGATCATTTCCCAATTGCTAATGTCTATCTTATGCTATCTTACACTTATTTTATTTTAAATTTATAGCCCACCTTTTCAACAGGGCAGCTAACAAATCAAATTGAAAAGAACCTGAACTCTCCTCCCTATGATAATAAATTTTGGTTTCCTCAAGAAATTTTGGAGGGCTTTGTTGGCTTATGTCAAGCGCAACCAGCCAGAACCACTCACAAATAAGCCCAAGTAGATATTTTATTGTTGATCCCTTATATTACAAGAATCTCACCAGACTGACTGACTGCCTTCCCCTTAGAAGGGGCAGATGTAGACCTAAACGGTTCGTCCTCACAAATTTTCTCCCCTGAACCAACTCTAAACTATTATGTCTCTTTATTCTCCCTGGAGGGCTGTGATTCTACCACAATTTGTGTGCTGCGGTTGTAGTAATCTATTGGTTGTTTTTGAGATGTTTTTGATGTACAGTACCGTTATCTTTTTCACAGCTTGTGTTGGTTGTGTTGTAGTGGGTAGACCGGTGAAGACCTTTATCCACAGGTATTAGGATTTGGTCCTTCAATAGAATGCAGTCAAGTGATATAAGTCCAAGTTGATAGAAGCTGTAACTGGCTATCAGTGTAAGTGATTTGTGCTTGGCAGGGAATGAAATTGGCTTGCCATGACTGTATTCTTCCTACTATAAATCCCATTAATTGGGGAACTACAATACCCTAACTAGCTAAAGTTTCTGAATGCCCTTCAAAGGCCATCTCAAGTACTATACATTATAGTACTAGTCAAGACTCATTCTTTCAAGTAAGACAGTGTTTTCTGCTGGGGGCTTAATTTCCATATGGATGAACTCTTAGGAATAAAACAAGTTTTGGGCAGGGCCAAAACCAAAGACTGGTGCACACTTGTTTTCCATGATACATTTCTTATTTTAATAATACCATTTTCTCTTTCTTTAGTAGTAAGCTTCAAGAAAAGCATAAGGAGCTTTTATGAGTGATATCATCTCTAATAGTGGAATCCTGAAATAGTGGCTTGCATACAATTAGCCTGAGAAGAGCTATAGGTAGCTTCCCCCATGTTGCACTGTTCAAAACTACTGTATATCATTCCTGCTGGATCTGGCATGCTATTAAATTAAATGTTTTACTTTTTAATATAAATTACTTCTAGAAACATCCAGCTTCTTGAATACAGCCGATAAATGTATGATTTTTTTTACAGCTACTTGAATGAGCTTCTGTGTTCTATCTAAAAATCAACCTACCCACAAAATTGTTCTTTCAGACAATAAATTAGATTTTTCTAAAGGTACTTATATTTCACAGCTCTGATATAAAACTGGAACATGAAAATGATGTATCAAGCTTGCAATTTACCTGAGGACACAGTGCTTCAAGCTGGCTTGCTGACATATGAACTAATTTCACACCTTCTTCATTATTCGAGATAGAACAGGCCAAGTTGGCAACCTGGTTAAAAAAAACAATAAATTGATTAAATTTATATGCCATCTTTCCACTAAAATGGTCTTCAGGGTAGCTAATAACAACATACAGGGAAATTTAAAAATGTAAACATATATTCATAACATTGTAATTTTTTCATAAGAATCTAATAAAATCTTTAAAATATTTTACAATTATTCATGTAAATTTGGTAATGAGGACAAGTTGGTAACTGAACAGATTCAATGATCTTAATTTTGCCTACTTAATTTTGTCTACTGTACAAATGAACAACTTTTAAATATGTAAATCATCATCTAATTATGGAATGCTTAAAAGTACTTTACAATTTAACAAGATTAGTACTTACCATTTTATGTCCTATTTTCACTGTTTTTTTGGCTGCTTGTGCAAGATCACAATCTAACTTAGCACAGTACAGCACAGGTGAACTCAGTCATTAATTATGTTTAAGATCTGCTCACCATTTACAGTTTTCTGAACTACACAACTTGTGTAGCTACTTTTGTGAATTTCACTAAACAAACCTGCTGCTGAAGCCTTTTTGTGAAACAGTGACTAGCGATAAATACAGAGAGGGAATGAGGAAGCAAGAGCCATTGGGCTATGGAGTGCTGGCAAATGTGGGAAGGGTAGAGAACAAGGCTCTGAGAGAGGAATGTGAAGAACCTGCAATGATCCACCTACTAGAATTCCACTGACCTCATGAAGTAAAAATACATGGAAAATTCTACCTATAATTGCAGTTAACCATTTAACTTCTCAGAGGAACGTGGTACATGATCATCTCATATGCATCCAACTTCAATGCAGAAGAGCATACACTGCTGCCAACTGGTGCAGAAAGATATCACAACCAGCTGTTTCTAGAAAATTCCGTGAAGACTTGGGCTGCTGTCTAGGAACAACAAGTCTTTCCATTTGTTTTCTGGCATCGTAGTAAAAGGCCACACAAAGTTGTGTTATTTTTTAAGTGAAAGTGTTTTATATTGTGGAGCATGCTCTCATAGGGCATTCTATAACATTAATATATATTAACTGACAAGCATATGACAGGCTGCTACGGAAAGCCTTCATTTGTGCATAGAAATGCACAAAAATGGCACAAAAAGACAAGAATAGTGTGTCTATCCCTCTGGGAATTGACAATCTTTTCCCTCCATTTTAGCAGTAATTCCCAAGAAGTTAAAGCTGACTAGCAAACCAGATGGATCTATCAGCAGAAGAAACAAGGGCAAATACAAGCCTGTCTGAAAACAACTCATACTAACCATGTGCTCCATTATCAAAGTAACAATCCAATCTCCCACATGAGGAGCTGTTTAAGAACAATATTCAGGAGTACAAATGCACTGTAGCAACACAAAACATCAGAAAAAGAACACTGCCACACAATATATTCCAACAAAATGGAATACCAATGCAACTTTATCAAAATGTCCCTGACCACTCAACTACTACAGCACAGCCAACACAATGAAAAGGATACTACCATATATCAAAACATCTTAGAAACAACCAAGATGCTATTACAACCACATGACATTACCATAGCACACAAACCAACTAAAGCCCTCAAAACATCTTACGTAACCCAAAAGACCCAGTAGCTAGAGAAGAAAAAAACAGAAGCCAGCTACAACATATAATGTAAGAACTGCAACAGCAGCTATGTAGAACAAACAAGCAGAACATATATACCATGAGCACCAATCAGTAGTCAGAAAATACAATGAAAACTCTTTAATCTCATACGACTACATGGACACATTCAAGCATAGTTTCAACTAGAAAACTGAACATCCTAAACCAAACTTAAATCCCAAACACTGGGGAATTCCTGGAAGATTGGCATCAGCCATCAATAGGCACATAGAAATAAACCAGATTTACACACCATTCATAAGAGACAATAAAAACTAAGATGGAAACATTCCAAACATTCTTCTTCTTTGTCTGGCATTAATTCTTCTTAGACAGAACTGACAACTGACAACATCAGATAAGCAGGAATTAATGTCAGATAATCACACGGAGAACAATAACTTAATCAAGAAACTACCAAGTAGAAAACCACATCCCACCAATACTGGCAGGACAAGCTACTGTATATAAACAAAGAGGAAACCCTATACTCATTCACACAAATGATGTTATCTAGTTAGGTAATAAAACATGTACAAGCAAACAACCAACAGAAGAGAGCACCAAGGACTCCATAGTTCAATCCTGAACTACATTTATTCCCTTTTATTGGCAGATGGCCTTTATTGGAGATTTCTCTCTCTCTCTCCTCCCCCACCCATAACAAGACAAGCAATTAAAATGCATTTTAATATGTTTTAATTAGAGGGAATATTTAGTGTCATGAAAATAATGACATGGGAGCCTTTCTATATTTTTGGTGGTATTTCTTGTAGTTCAACTATCCCTAGGGATAGGAAAAACACTTCAAACTGTGAGCAAAATTACACGAAATTAATTGTTTTTGGCATTTATTTATATTGTGCTTTTATCTTGTTTGTCACATTTTGAACTGTCCAGAGTCAGTCTATTGTCAAGTGTTGCCAAAATCAAATAAGTGAATAAATCAAAATGCTTACATCATTTTAAAATGTAAAAAAGTGTTTGTACTCAAAAAGCAACAGTTTCTAACTCAAACTGAGGTATTTAATGAAGCTCCAGGCTAAATTTTTTTTGATAAAAATGCTTTACACACATCTGAATATAATTATTTCTTGATATTTATATTTTTGCTATGATCCCCGGATATAGGGTTATTTTTTTTGCACGATTCTACCAGGATCATCCTACACAGATCAATTATGCCTCATCTTGACAGAACTGATTTAATTGGTTATTAATAAATTATCAGACTTTCTTTACAAGAAGTGTGCTCTGCAACAGTTATATATTTATATCAATTGAATTTTTATTCGCACCTAAGAACCCAACTATGAGATAAGGGCAGTGGTGCGATTCAAACCGGCGTAACAACCGTTTCGGTGACTGCGTGCTTCGCACCTACTTCTGGGATGGCACCATGTGGCCTCTATATTGCATAAGAACGCTGAGAGGGTGGATCAGCTAGTTCTCACTTCCAAAAACTCTGTTCCCTCAAAGTCTTCAGGGACCAAGTGGAGCAGAAAGCAGCCCCAAAGCCTGCAAGCAGCCAGCAGGGTAAAAAGCACAGTGCATGATGCTTCAGGGAGTGGAGAAGGACCAGGGCAGACCATATGTGAGCTGAGGAGGTGCTGCTGTGCAAGCCTGGCCTGCGTTAGGCTTTCCTAGGCTGCCCCCTCCGCCAACTCCTGATGCACTCCATGCTCTGCTTAACAACTGCAACGGGAAAAGCTGGGGTTGTGGCGGTTAAGCAAGGTGATCACATGGGCACCTCGCTTAATAATCACAATTTATGATCATAATGGGCAGGCTCCATTATGGTTGTAAGTCGAGGACTACCTGTATTGATCCTGACTGCATATGCAAACCATTCTCGCAAAAAATATATCCATGAATAATCACATGCCCTTCTCTCTTTCTAGCCGGAACAGGAAAAAGAAGAAAAAGATAACCAAAGAAATGGAGGAAGAGGATTGTTTAACACACACAGTACAATAAAAAGGCAAGTTTGAGAGATAAAACCGGATGGAGGTAAGGAAGAGTTAACTGGACCAAGAAAGACTGGAAAGAGAAGCCTTGTTTTAATGTTCTACAAAAGTTAAAGCCACCAGATAGGGCGTTGGTACTTACCTGACACGCCCATTCTCTTTGAGCTGTGAAGAGCATCCAGTAGTAGTGGGAGATGCTTCAGTCTCTGCATGTCTAGGCTGGGCTTAATTTGTGGAATGCTCCTCCTCCTCCACGGGACTCCTCCCCAGCGTTCCCCAGTTTTGGTGAAGACGAGAGAAATAAACGCCCTCGTCCTCAATGCCCTAACAAATACGTTGGCCGAAACAGGACCTCACCAGACGGAAAAAGGGTGGGGCTGGATGCTCTTCACAGCTCAAAGAGAATGGGCGTGTCAGGTAAGTACCAACGCCCTTTCTCCCATGAGCTGTTCAGAGCATCCAGTAGTGGGACATACCAAAGCTTGGCCTGTCCTACGGGAGGGACTCCGTCTGGCCTGGAAACCCCTCCTGGTCCCTGTGGACCTATTGCAGAACTCTGCTGCCAAAGGAGACCTCAGCGGATGCAAATACATCTATTTTATAATGCCTAATGAATGGTGATGGAGAGGCCCAGGTTGCAGCTCGACAAATTTCAGTTATTGGTGTCTGTGTGGCCCACGCTGCCGATGTTGCGGCGCTCCTTGTTGAATGAGCTCTTATGCCCCTGGGCACCTGCAGTGATTGAGTCTGACACGTTTTCGCTATCGCAGCCCGTAGCCAACGGCCTACTGTAGAAGATGAGACCTTGTATCCCTGAGTGTTGGGCTGAAACGACACAAATAAGGCTTCCGTTTTCTGAAAGTTGCTGTGCGGTTAATATATATTCGCAATGCTCGCCTCACATCAAGCCTATGCCATTGTAGTTCCAACCCTTGGGATGGTCTGGGACAAAAATGAGGAAGCATCAGCTCTTGTGCCCTGTGAAAATCCGAGTTAATTTTAGGAATAAACGTAGGATCAGGACGAAGGACCACCCGGTCAGAATGGAAAACACAAAGATCTTGTCTGATAAACAAAGCTGCAAGTTCCGAAATACAACGAGCAGAAGTGATCGCTACAAGGAAAACTACTTTATACGTCAGAAATTGGAGACTTGACGATTTCAAGGGTTCGAAAGGGCCCTTAGTGAGTGCGACGAGGACCTTGTTAAGGTCCCAGGTGGGATAACCTCTGGAGGGCGTAAATTTGTGGCTCCTCGAAGGAAACTCCGTATGCGTGGATGATGGGAAAGATAGTAGACTTTCACAAGTGAGAACTGACGCCAAGGCCGCCACCTGTCTTTTCAACGTATTAGGTGATAATCCCTTGTCAAGTCCCTCTTGCAAGAACTCT